CGGAAGTCCGGGACGTCTCAATTATCGAGTAATCTCACATAAAGCGAATATTTCATATGAAGTCTACACGTGGTCACTATGATATTGTCTTGGGGAATTTTGTAGAAACCACCGCCAGAGGTGTTTTGCATGCCAATATACTTTTGATGTGAGACAGGGTTGATACCATTGAGGTTCCTGCAGCAAAATATTGTAGTAGTAAGGAACACTGTATCATGTACCTTACTACACAAGTAATAAGTTCTTGGTAGCTTTTAAGGTAGCGGAGCGCAAACTCCCAGAAATCAAATATAACAAGCCGTACCAAGGCTAGAACGTACGTATCTTAATCCCAAGGGTGGGGTAGTCAACTAAGTTACTAATGACTATACCCTGTGACTTGCCCCACCACAGATAAATAGATCACCCCCTCTTCCCCAGCAGACACACTTAAGGTCCCCTCACCCCTACAATATTTCGAGTATATAGCGAAAGCACTGTAATTTTGCGGACGCTGTTCTGAGACCGCCACACTCTTAAGATCAGTTCACGCACCGTGGAATATGGTCCTACTTACATAGCTCCTCTATTCTCGAGGAACGCAACAACGTCATACCCTACCCTAAAAGGAGATGAGCTCAACAATGCGCTACACTCCGTTCGCTTCCGATATAGAGTTCCCATTCTATACGGCTTTATCCTCACTTAAGATTAATCACGACAAGCTTGACGATGCTGCCCGTAAAGTGCTAGGTCTCTATGAGGTTCGATCTACAGACCTCCCTAATGCCTCCTGTCGAATGCAGATACATGGGAACGCCCTGACAACAGATGAGTGAGTTATGATCTACTACGGGTCTGGGTGTTTACGAACAATAATATATATTGACGAGCCGCCTGGCTACCAGGACACCGGCTGGGTTTTATCGAGCTGAAGGATTGATCAAGAATGTCAATACACTTGAGGAGTATACAAACATCGATAAGGCACATATTCTCCAGCAGTCCGCGAAAACGGTTAGGCACGCACTTTTGAATCAACCAGGATCATACTGACTTGTAGACATACTAGGTCTGGGATGCCATATGCGATGGCACTATTTATTCGTGCCCCTCTTTGCTTGCGTCATTCTTCATTTTGTCGTACGCGGATCTAAAGAAATACAAATTTCACTATTGGTTCGCATTCCCGGCACTGCACTCGAGCCCTTCCTGGGCCCTTCTTGAGAGGACCGAGGAAAATGCCAACTCCTGTCAAACTAGAGGAGCGGTGTCACCGGCTAGGGGTCTAGAAGATGCTGAATTATCAAATCTCGTGGAGACGGTCAAGACATGGAGCTACAGTGTAGAAGACCGCCAGCGAGGGTTTTTCTTGGCCAGGAGACTTCATGGTGCCAGAAATGGAACAATGTTCGAAAGCAACTCAGAAGTTACCGACGGGTTTACGGAATCAATAAATCACGATGGCCCACGGTGGAGGATTGCTCCTCTCCTAGCCTACGAGGATGGCTTTTTCAGAGGTGCGAGATTTGAAGACTGCTTCGTCTGTTTCGCTGATCCTTCAAACTATGAGGATGCACCTGGATGGATGCTGAGAAACCTTCTGGTACTTGTAAAACGACGGTGGGGACTCAATAAGATACAGGTACTGAGATACCGTGACATGCAGCCGGATCCCAGCCCCGGTCATTACAGAAGCACAGTGTTGACTCTGCAATCGGATGACATGCAAGCAGCGGCTACTGCAGAGTCGCAAAGTTCGACCAAAGACATGCCGAAGGTGACCGGCTGGGAGCGTAATCCAGCCGGTAAATTGACAGGTCGCTTCGTCGACCTCACAGAGTACTTGGATCCTAAGAGGTAGGGACACCATCTTTTTTTATTGAGACTCTTGTATCATATACTGATACAATCCTCAGACTAGCCGACCAGTCGGTCGATCTAAATCTAAAACTCATGAAATGGCGTATCAGCCCCAATCTTAACCTTGATAAGATCAAGCGCACCAAGTGCCTCCTATTGGGGGCAGGAACCCTCGGGAGCTATGTTGCGAGGAATTTGATGGTATGGAAACCGCAGGAGATCTGAGTCTATGTATCGGCATCTGACAATGAGAATAGGGTTGGGGGGTGTCTAAAATCACCTTCGTGGATAATGGGTCCGTATCGTTCTCTAACCCTGTGAGGCAACCACTTTACAATTTTGTCGATTGTATAGACGGCGGGGTGAAGAAGGCTCTTCGAGCGTCTCAGGCCCTGTTGGAGATATACCCGGGAGTCAACTCTACGGGCCATGTCCTCTCTGTTCCCATGGTTGGACATCCTGTCATTGATGCTGAAAAGTCTCGGGCGGAGTTTGATGTACTCCAGAGACTTGTTGAAGAGCATGATGCCATTTTTCTCCTAATGGATACGCGCGAAGCACGCTGGCTGCCAACTGTCATGGGGAAGGCGGCTGGCAAGATAGTTATGAATGCGGCTCTCGGGTTCGATTCGTATGTGGTCATGCGGCATGGGATTAAAGCGATTACAGAGCCATCAGCAGAACTCGGGTGCTACTTTTGCAACGATGTCGTTGCACCGATGAACGTAAGTAAAACCACTCCGGCCTATAGATCACTATGCTAAGAGTTGGAAAGTCTGTCAAAGATCAAACACTTGATCAGCAGTGCACCGTTACTCGGCCTGGTGTGGCGGCTATAGCTTCGGCTTTGCTGGTAGAGTTGCTTGTTTCCCTTCTTCAAAATCCCCTGGGTGCTGCAGCACCGGCCCCGACCTCGCGCAGTGATGATCGAGGAGACCATCCACTGGGGCTCGTGCCACATCAAGTCAGGGGATTCCTTGCGACATTTGAAAATATTTCAGTCACAGGCAGAAGCTACAAACACTGCAGCGCTTGTTCAGATAACATCACCCGCGCTTATAAGGAGGACGGTTGGAATTTCGTTCTGAGGGCTTTGAATGAGCCTGGATACGTTGAAGAACTGAGCGGTCTCAAGGAGGTTCGTTAGTCCATTATCTTCATTGCGCCTTCCTTGTTTCCTTGTTCTATGTTATGCGATCTCTAGCCACCTCCAAATTTCCCTGTCTTTTCGGATTCAAGAAATTTACTGACACTATCCCAAGGTGCATGCTACAGCAGAGGCTTCACTTGCTGATGTAGAATGGGATGAGGACTCCGAATCAGCAGAGGAGATATAATTGAGCCCGGCTTGATGCTAAGGAAGGGGGGCTGTGCATGTTAGTTTGCAAATGCCATGAAATTTCAGCACCGCATCATACCATGTTTTATCAATTGCCGCAGGATCCCTTATTCGGTGTACTATTTTCGACTGAGACCAATGAAAAAAGATTCTTTGGATTCCTGTGCAGATGTTCAGAACCCTGAAGGCCTGTTTAATGCTGTGTTTGACGAGGCGAGTGAATGCTTACATTGCGCGACGATTCCGGTTTAAGGCGATGGACTTTCCGAAATAGTTCCCTGAGCTGTTCCTCCAGGGCCTTATCTTCGGCTCCTTGGTAGAATTTGCAGACGAAATGCCCTCCAGTGCGGAGAACTTCTTGGCTGAACTGCAAAGCTGCGTGGCAAAGATCCTATCATCCATCAGCTGAGGGAAACCATCGAAGCATAGGGCAAGCTCAGCAACTTACCATACTACCTGCATGGTCTTTGAAACTAATGCCGCTTGTGTTCATCATCCTGTTATACGGATCACTTAGACTTCTTTTCCCAAACCCTGTCGTTTGGAACCAGGGAGCGGACATATCGCTTAGGACAACATCTACCGAGTATTTGCAATCCCCTTGTTTGGGATCTGTTTGCTTATCAGAGCTCGCGTTCTCCTCCGATTTGAGCTGTGTGTCATCGTAATCGGCATCCAAGATCGTACTTGGAGGGTTTGGCCTACCCCTATTGGCGTCGCGCACAAATTCTCGAACATAGGCCTGTATATTCGGGTCGAGGAAGTTGCCTTGAATCGTAGATACTCCTTTAGGGGGCTGGGCCGGGATAATGTCCACGCCGAGGACGCGGCCGTGTGGTTGCGTTCTAGCTACTGCTACCTGGTGTGGTGTTAGCCAAGGTGCAATTGGCTTAGTCTTCACTCTGCACCTAACGCACTTGGGACCAAGAGCCAGGAGCATAACCCTAAATTGGATGGATCATACTGTCAATCAACATGGCCCGAGTTGAGGCACCTTGATTGTGGCTATCATACTAAATCAACAACCGTTTGTCCGCTCTCAAATATGTGGTATTTCTCGTCTATCTATTCAAAGAAATTATCAGGATGTATAGGATGGCGGGTCATGTTGGTTAAGTACTTGAAGGAGCTTGAAAGCCGCGCGGCTTTTCAGGCCCTGCACTGCTGCTTCCCTTGTGAAACGGTCCTTGAGCTGACGGGCTTGCCATCGTTTTGAGGATGAAAATCGCTTCAGGATCTGAAAACTAAGGAGGCCAATGCCCTGTGTTGCAGGCGAACACTTAACAGATGGAACGAGTAGCATGGTTGCAACATTGGCAAAGTTGGATGGAATAAAAATGAGTGATGTGCGGAAGGATGCCGGAGCGCTCCCGCGGAAGTGGTAGATTGGGCGGGACTCGGTGTTACTGCCATTCATCATCGATAGTGGCTGGCACAGTACCACAAATCAGTGACTATTATTTAGTCAGTGAACATAGAATGTTCTAACTAGTCATCTACTGTATTGCTGAGACAAATATCTTTGATGTATAGACCTTCATCCACTCTTGTGGCATACTAAACCATCTACAACACTACTATCGGGTAATTATGTTGTATTGGCGCCCTACTTGGTAGGAGTAAGAAGTATGGAGTACCCGCATAGTGACCCGCTCAGCGGTACGCGTTGTGGACACCTATCATCCTAGGCTTCTCGGATATGTAGTGCTCCGCTGCCTATCCATCCATGAACTGTCTACGTACATGGCCAATTTCTTCGCGGATTGCTGATCCGCCTCCTTTTCACCGCACAAACTGACGATTATATTGTCATGCCAAAATGAAGCTCTTCAACCTTCTTGTCTCTTTTCTCTGCATGGTCACTTCCGCTTCTTGCGGCGCCGCAGACACAGACAAATTTGAGAGATATCGTTCACTCTCTCGCTCCGCCCCAATCGAACTGACCGACTCGTCGTACGAAGACATAACATCTAAGCCTCGCGACTATCATGTTGCAGTGCTTTTGACAGCCGCAGATGCTCGCTATGGGTGTATCCTTTGTCGCGAGTTTCAACCTGAATGGGAGCTCATAGCACGAAGCTGGAACAAAGGTTCCAAGCCCGATGGACTTCAAATGCTCTTTGGGACCCTTGACTTTTCCGATGGAAAAGGCACCTTTCAGAAGGTATTTAGCAAAAATATGGCCTAGAAATCTAATCATCTTAGCTGACATTGAGTAGTTGATGCTCCAAACTGCGCCTGTCCTCCTGGTCTTTCCTCCTACCGTTGGCCCCTTCGCCAAGATTGATGACGCACCCCTGCGATTCGACTTCAGCGGGTAACTATACACTGAATCTTTTAGTCGATTGATTATCACTGATTTCGACCTACAGCCCGATTTCTGCTGAACAGCTATATACATGGATGAACCGTCAGCTTCCAGAGGGCCCGAAGCCGCCACTTGTTCGTCCGATCAACTACATGCGACTTGTCTCCGGCATAACCATTTTGATGGGTGCTGTGACGCTTTTCACGGTTTTGTCACCCTATGTTCTTCCCATTGTTCGCAACCGGAACTTGTGGGCTGCTTTCAGCCTGATTGCCATCCTCCTATTCACAAGTGGCCACATGTTCAATCATATTCGCAAAGTGCCATATGTTGCCGGAGACGGTAGAGGGGGTATTAGTTACTTCGCTGGTGGATTTTCAAACCAGTTCGGCATGGAGACGCAGATCGTTGCTGCCATTTGTATGTTGCCCTCAATCACATGCATACTTCTTATCTCATATGTGGATCTGATGCCAATTCGCTAATCGTGTCGTCAGATGCCGTCCTGTCTTTTGCAACAATTGCCCTGGCAATGAAGGTGCCCCGTATCGCAGACAACAAGGCACAGCAGGTAGCTGTGATCATCTGGGGTTCCGTACTTCTTGGTATGTACAGCTTCCTTCTGAGTGTGTTCAAGACGAAGAATGGAGGATACCCGTTTTTCCTTCCGCCATTCTAAAGGATTTCCGATGTATATTATCAACATGAGCTTTCCATCCGACCAGGTGTGAGCACATTTGCTGCGGGTTGGCGGTTATTCTCGGGCAGTAGCTGTGTACTACTTGTTGAACTGCTTTTCTTCGTCCAGCTCCTCCGTTATCGTGTATTTACTATATAGTACATGGCGGAACAACTCTTCTTTCAAAGGTGAACAGCTAGGAACCCTGTATTCAGCATTAATTTCCATATTAGTCGGGCCGATGTGGTGAACTTAATGGCGAAAAGGGCAGCAAATTAGTTATCTCGAGAGTATTATTGCTAAATTGGCATCAATCGTATGCTCTAAAGGCCGGGTCTACAGTGGGCTCATCTGCAATTCCATTGCAAGCGAGTCTGAGGTTTCAAAGGTTATCGTGACATTGCTGAGCCCAGTGTAGTAGTGGCATGCTCACACCAAACTCTGCAATTCTCACATAGAACTATTAAAGCTCAGTATGGACTGAACGTGCGATTAGACACACAAGGAACAAACTCCAATAACCTCGCACGGTGTTAAAACACGTGGGTTTTTTTTTTTTTTTTTTTTTTTTTTTTTTTTTTTTTTATTTTTTTTCTTATCAACTTCGGATTGAGTACGAGGTCTGCGTGTTTGCAAGTAACTACCAGAATGTAATAATGTGACTCTTCCCGTGTGCTGAAAACCTGCACACACGTTCTTCAAAAGCATCTCAGAACACTGAGTTTCACAGCACAAAAGGTACACAATTAATCGTGAGCGTAACGCATATATTACGGTTCGTTGTATACACTTAGCCAATGTTGCCGTTGAACTGTGCCTGTGCTATAAAACCGAATTGAGGAGCTTAGACACTGGCAGATAAACGCCAGAGCACGGGAACGGGAACTACCACAAATTAGTACTCAGAAAGCACGTGGCCTTTTCGGCGGGACCCATATACTTCCTGCCAATTGCTGAGCAATATTCGGACTTCTTTCGCCGAGCTTATTCTTATTTTATCCTTTCTCCCTCTTCCGACAGGGGGTCGACCAGTGAGATTCATTTCCTCTGCTGTAAGTCCGGGCTGCAGGGCCAGCTTTACGAAAACACAGAGATCCTTAGATAAGAGAGCCTTTGATGCCCGCGGGCTTTATCCTGTCTACATGTCAGGAGTAGATGAGAATGTCAGCGCAATGCTGGCATCATCAGCATCTGGGACGACGATGATGATTATCGTTCAACTGGCCTCGAGGATTTTCACTTTCACCGCCAATCAGTTGGTTTTGAGGAGCTTACCTCCGGCCATAATGGGTGTTGCATCCCAACTGGAGCTATACTTCATCTCGATATTATTTTTCTCCAGGGAAAGTATCAGGATGGCTATACAAAGACAGCCATTGCAACTCAAGCCCCTCACCATGTATTCCCACAAGGACAGCACTGGTACATCTCCCAAAAAGAGCAATGATGTATCTGAAGCCCGAACCATAGCCTCGCAGTCAGTAGTGAACATGTCCTACTTGAGCCTTGCCTTGGGGTTCTTGTTCGCTCTGGCATTTGCTGCATCTTATGTACAGCTAGCATCGAGAGAGGTGTCAGAGTTACCCTACTACTACGCAAGCGTGATAATCACATCCATTGCATCCCTTATGGAGCTCTCCACTGAGCCCTTCTTCACTGTAGTGCAGCAATATATGCTACACAGACAACGTGCAGTGGTTGAAATGAGTGCAGCCTTTGTAAAAAGCCTTACAACCTGCCTTGCCTGTGCGTGGGCTTCCAGAGCCGGCCACAGCATTGGCGTGCTCCCATTTTCAATTGGTTATTTCTGTTATTCTTCCACTCTCATCTGCGGCTATATGCTAGCCCTGTCGGGGGTTACGGACGCGCAGAAGTTTTCTATGCTTCCCACAAAGATAAAGTCAAGGTAGGCCATGGGAAAGTAAACTTACAATATCCTATCTGATGAAAATGTCCAGGGACAGATCAGAGTATTTCATGGGAAGATTCTCATGGCCGATGATAGGGCTTTCCGCAAATGTGTTCTTTCAATCGGTGATAAAACATCTTCTCACCCAGGGTGATTCAATGATGCTGGCAACCATGACGAGTTTAGAAGACCAAGGCATATACGCACTAGCCTCTAATTACGGCGGTCTCCTAGCTCGCGTTTTCTTTCAGCCCATTGAAGAAAGCAGTCGAACGCTCTTTTCCTCACTGCTAAACTCTGGCGGGAGCGGACATTTACGTGTGAAAAACATCGATGCTGCTAAAACTCAGTTGACAGAAGTTCTCCATGCATATAGTCTGATGGCTATTGTGGGGTTCCCCCTTGGTCCAGTTCTGGCACCTCAATTGCTACGTCTGTTAGGCGGGCGCATCTGGGCTTCACCCAAGATCAGCAGCCTGCTTTCACTTTATTGCTACTATATACCATTTCTAGCTTTCAACGGTATAAGTGAAGCATTTGTCTCATCGGCAGCAAACTCGACAGAACTACGCAGACAAGCGGTATGGATGGGGGTGTTTTCAGCATGCTTTGCATCTGCCGCGTACTTATTCTTGAAAGTCGGCGCTCTCGGTGCCCACGGAATGGTATATGCCAATATTGTCAACATGGCAGTTCGCATCGTCTGGAGCTTTTCCTTCATTCGGAAATTCATGTCTCGACACGGAAGCGGTATGGCTATTGCCGAATTTAGCCCACGGCCGCTTACCTGTATCGCCAGTGTCACGATGTCTATAGTCCTTACCTCAAAGGGTCTATATGCTCTTGATATCTATAGCACGAGAAATGCACTGATACTTGGAGCTATGTACATTCTTATCGTGTACGTCTCACAGTTTTATTTACATGCAAGTCACAGTCTAATGGTGTGTATAGGTCTTATCTCGAGAGAAAATCTTTGTTCATATATTACACAAAAGCCCGCGAGCTGGTGAAATGCAAAACATCCCGAACTCCAAAGTCCAAAGGCGAATGAGTCATCATCAGTCGTCAAAAACGATCTTGGTTGATGTCTTATTGGTGTCGACATCCTTGAAAAAAGCGCCATATGCGTCATGTTGCTTCTTCTTGACCGTTGCCCCGAATTTGAGAAGATCTTCGGGTACATCCTGGTTAGCCGCTTTTAGAACATTTATTAAACTATAACATGTTAGTCTCGGTTAAAACTTGATCGGAATGCTTCCAAGACAATGACTACTTACGCTCCGGATTGAGCTTTATCAACCTCAGTAAATAGAGTGATGGCATGGCCCTCAGCTCCAGCACGGCCAGTTCTTTGAGCCAATTAGTCGGCGAGACAAAACATACAGGGACGAGGTACTTTACTAACCGGCCAATTCGATGTACGTAATCCTCAACGGTGAGGGGGAACGTAACGTTGATGACGAGCTTGACTGAAGGTATGTCGAGGCCACGAGCTGCCACATCAGTTGCGACAAGAACAGTTGAGACGCCTTTTTTGAAGGAATCCAAACTTTTGAACCGTTCTTGTTGGCCCAAATCGCCGTGTATTCCGGCAACCTTGAAGCCTTTATTCCAAAGAAGTCTCTCAACACGCACAGCCTCCTTCTTATACAAGCAGAACACCAGAATCTTGTCCGAGCTGTGTGGGCCCTTCTGGTATTTGTTCAATAACTGTACAAGCCTCTGTTCTTTTTCGTGCGGCTTCACCACTTCAACAACTTGCTTGATTCTAGTGTTTGCGCGCGGATCAGCCGAAGGCTCTCCACCAATTGTGACCGTCACAGGAGAAGTCATGAACGTTGCAGCAAGGTCCCTAACGACCGGCGGCCAGGTCGCAGTGAACATAACAGTTTGACGCTTTGACACCGGCATGGGGCGGATGATATCTTTGATGTCCTGTTCGAAACCTTTATCCAGCATGCGATCCGCTTCATCCAGAACAAGATACTTGACTTTTCCTAGATCGACTGAGCCATCATTCTGAAGATCCTTCAATCTTCCTGGTGTCGCCACGACAATAGCAGCAGTCTTCAAGGCCTGGCGTTGCTCATCTTTATTCACACCCCCGAAGATACAAGCTACCTTGATATCCACGAGTTCTGCGAACTTCGAGATCTGATCATGTATTTGCATTGCAAGTTCTCTCGTTGGGGAAATCATCACCGCTGTCGGCTTATAAGGCTTTCCCTTCTTCGCCGAGTCTTGTAAGTTTTTCAGGCAGGGCAAGCCGAAGCCGAGCGTCTTACCACTCCCGGTTTCAGCGATGCCAATTACATCACGGCCAGCAAACAGGAAAGGCCAGGTTGCTGACTGGATAGCAGTCGGGGAACTGAACGACTCAAGAGGACGGTACAGTGCACTGTTGCAGGTAGGTAGGTGAGAGAAAGAGGTAATGGGATGAAGCTTCGTTGCTCCCTCCAAGGTATCCGTGATCTTGACGGAATTTTCTTCGAGGAATTTCTCTATGACTGCTGGGGAAGGCTCTTTCAGGTCAGTGTTCTGCGTCTCAGAAGCCTGCGCACCAGCCTTGGAGTCCTCGGCCTTCTTTGTGTGCTTTTCGTTTCTTGACTTCTTTTTCGCCCTATGCTCAGTGCTACCCTTATCTTGGAGTTCACGCTTGGCCATGTTGTTTTTGTTGCTTCGAACTTTCTCAGATTCAAAGTGGAGAATATGTGTAAGAGATTTTGTAACAGAAAGAAAGAAGAATAATCGTAAAGCAAATCGGCTGCGTCTCGAAGAAATAACAGTGAATGTTCTGAGGGCGCCTTCTTTTTGCCCTTAGAATACTTTTATTTTATTCTTTTTTATTTTCGCTGTTTCTTTTTGGGCTTGCCTGTCTGGAGCAAAACTTTGATTCGGGATAAAGTACTCCATATGGTTAAATCTCTTGCCCTAGTGCTGCTCCGTCCCGCTCCTTAATCCTAATCCAGTTAGTACCGTCTGCGCCGCGGAACAATCTAGCCTTTTGTGTCCTACATGCAGACGAGTCTACGGAGTCTTACTCCGTCGTAGTTGTAGTTGCAGCCTAGTAGTATATAGATATACTATGTAGTATAGTATTCTTAAAAAAAAGCGCCGAATCAGGTAGGCTCAGAAAAAGCCAGCACTCGAAAAGAAAAAAAAATCACAGGATCAGGGCGTCTTTAAGAATCTACAAAACTTGCGGGCATCCATTGGGATACGTTCGTCACTACTTTATGCCTATACTAAACCTGCGTTCTCTACCATGGCTGCCATTCGTAGTGATCTCGTCGTTGTTTATTTGTATGTACGCTGACCGTCTCCGCTTCCACCTTCAAGTCGGTGGTTGGCTTCTCAACCGGGCTAGTTTGCATTCAATTAATCGTGCAAATTAGTTTTCCCTTGGTTTGATTGCTCTCCAGCAACCTATGGGCATCCGCGATTTCTTCAAATGCGAAAACCTTCTCGATGAAGACTTTGAATGTTTGGTCGTTGAACTTGGGTAAAGCATGGTCCACCAGAAGATCACGTAGTCTCCCCTGATAATCTTCATCCCTGCTGCGAAGAGTGCTGCCTTCGAACCTCAATCTCTTCCTTAGGATTCCACTGATGTCAGTATTGGCAGGGAGGACAGAACCACTCATCTGTCCTAGTTGGACAATACGTGCATCCCGTGCGGCCACGTCAAGATTACCTTGAAAATGTGCGGCGCCCACAAAATCGACAATAATGTCGACTCCACGACCATTCGTTTCTTTCAGTATCTCGGAGGCCCAGTCTTGACTCTTGTAATTATACCCAGCAGTAGCCCCTAGTTCACGTACGCAGAAGTCAATTTTTTCTTGCGAACCCGCAGTCACATAGACAGCAGATGCTTTGTCGATCTTCGCAAGTTGGATCCCGGAAATTGATACGGATGAAGCCCCTGCATGCCAAAGAACGGACTTTCCAGCGCTGAATTCGCCAATCAGATAGAGCGCCTGGCTTGCAGTTATCCAGGTCTAAGGAGATGGTGCCATGGTTATTACAAATTGGTTCCCTAGAAGTTGAAGGTCAAGCATACCTCTGGTATTCCCGCAGCCTCCTCCCATGTCAAACCCGAGGGTTTGTGTATCAACATCTTGGTCGACACGGCGATGTATTCCGCATAGGCCCCTGACAAAATGTAATGAATACTTACACACTCCATCAAGAAGAATGCCACGTACCGCCATAGGCTAGGCCAAAAACACTGTCGCCGATTCGAAAGCCATTGCTTGTATTCTCACCAAGTTCCTCTATCACCCCGGAAAATTCGACCCCCATGGTGCTAGGAGCTTGCGGAGGAAGAGGATATTTTCCTTCGCGTTGAAGCAAGTCCATCCTGTTCAGCCCGAATGCCTTGATCTTGACCAAAGCCTGGCCAGGACTAGGCTTCGGTATTGGGATCTGGTCAACGAACAAAGCTTCGGCACTTCCTTTGCCCCCTTGGATACCTGGGTGTTCTTAGCATATCACGCTCGAGAGTCTGAGCAATGCAACTTACCAATGGCTCTCATGATGCCTCCCATCTTTGCTTGACACTTTTAATTGATTGACTACAAGTTTTTCTAAATCGACTTTACTCTGCCCTGTGGTTATTTGTCTCGGTTATGCAGTACGGCATCCAGCGTCATCATTTGTCATCAAATGGAGGGCAATTAGTCATAATGACAAAGTTGTAACTAATAACTATGCTTGTTAACTAAATACGTGGCCAACAATTGATTAACTGCTTACTTGCAGGACAAGCTGATCTACCACTCTGATTCACCGTGATCTAAGTTGATAGCGCTCAGATATTTGTCATATGCTCTTTAGCAGTTTACTATGTATATTCGGAATCTCAAAGAGAATGTAACGGGTTTCAAAACCCCACATACTCGCGTGCTCCGGGCGTCACATGTGTGTAGATTCAGGAACCGATCATAAAGGCCTAAAGGAGGTATGGGCACACTGCTGGAGTTGGAATTATACAGCATTAAGGAGTTTATGAACATTGATAACAGCACTATATCTGTTGAAATTGCCTATACTATCTGTGTTCATTGGACTCACCTGCTTTCATATGTAAAAATCTAGAAGAATTGACGCTATCTGCCAGAAGTCACTACCGTTCGAACTCTTTGGCAAGTCTATGCGGGTGCAATTCAGCGTGGCTATTCTTGTAAGTCCAAGCGACAGCTAATGCTAGTCAAGTGTGGTATCACAGAATCAACGTTGGCTTATATTTTCTTTGTTCAGTTTGTAGCACCTTTCAAGATCCATCATCGTTTCAGGTATGCATCCTATCTTAGTGACAGCAGCCGATGTCACGCAATCCCAAAGCCACAAATTTTAAAATCTCATTAAACAGTCTTGTAAAAATAAAGATGCACAATGCTTGCAAGGGGAGTCTCAAGAAGCCTCCAGCATGCTGAAAGCATATTCAAGATACATTGTAAGATTCAATAAGATCGGCAAGGCGTGAAGCCTCCTGGGAATAATTTATCGGGTTGGCCGAGGATACCTGATACCGTATACTGGTAGAGAGAATATTAGCAGTGCCATCTGAGCCATGGAACGAATTGCCTTACCGTTGTTGTTCGCCGAAATGATCTATTTTGGCACGGCATCGGAAATTCCAGGTCCGGCAATTGGCATCCTGGAATGCGTCGCCAGCTGCTTTCTCATCCGTCTGGAACAGTTCCATTAACTGATTGGCTGACATGTCCATCATCAATTTGCCCACGTCGTCAAAGCAGCTTAGCCAAAGTTGGCCGGTATGGTCGCTAACATTAACATGCATTATGTAGCGGTAATCTGGTCGGGGGTGAGTCTTATCGCAGCGCTCACAGCGCCACTGGCCGGGATCAAGCTCGGTCACCTTCTTGTTGCATTTTTCTGAGAGACAAGCAGGATAAGCAAAGGACATGTTGTCCTGCTTTATGTAGATAACCGTTGCTTTCAGCGAAAAGTAAACCGCTTCCTCGGACATACCCAATTGCTCCTCTCTTATTTGGGCGATTGTCTTGAACTGGTCCGACTTCATCGTTGATGAGGCTGCGCCTAATAAGGAAGCATGTGAAGAAAAATTCTCATCTCTGCCTTGTGCGTCATACCAGCCTTTGAGCTTGTGGGCTTCCTCAATGTCAGGATCAACCGCCATTGAACCCGAGCTCAGCAAACTCAGACTACGCCCGCCAAAGTCAGAGACCTTCACGCCTTTGAAAGCTATTACAGACTCGGGCAAGGCGTTGAAATTCTGAGCTGTAGTGCCCCAGATAGTCAGGCGAACAGAGAACCCGGTATTGTCAACCATGACCAGCTCGCGCTTGTTATAGGGCTTGTTCGTTGTTTTGGATGTGATCTGTGAAACCCCCATGTCCTCTTTCAGCACGCCTATCACATCGATCGTAGTATCTTTTTCTACCGATTGGAGGTCACCAATAGAAGTGAAATTGAATCGAACCTGGGGAACATCACTCTGATCCTCTGCCTGATGCGACATGGTAAGTTAAGAGTTCAATGCGAACCGAGCACTCTGACTGACCTTTTCAACCACCGTATCCCTTTCAAAAGTCAGCTCATAATCGTTGTTCAAGTTCGTGAACTGCTTTTTGGCAATTTGCACGCGGCAATTGGAGATATAGTATACACCGCCCTCCTGGAAGACGTCATACAGCATGTCGCATTGGTCGTTGAATCCAGTAGCTCGTATTTCGCCACTGTCGTCCAGTAAATTGACGCTGAAGAGCCTCCCTTCGGTATTCCTATTGTGCCAAGTCTTGATATTTGTCTTGCTCGTACAGCGTGCTTTGATCGTCCATTTGTGAGAATATGGTGAAATAGCTTCGATGGGATATATAGTAGCATGCGCTGCGGCCAAGACAGGTCGTGCTGACTGCACTCCGGTATTTGACTGGACCTGTGCGCCTGACATCTTCGATCCATAGAAACCGTTGCTGGAGATTGTAGTGGGTTGGTGCTTGTCGTCTTCATCTGTTTTGCTTTCGAGTGGTTTTGGTTCGCCAATCTTCTCGGCCACTCCCAGTCCCTCCAAGACTTCAAGGTCGAGAATAATAAGGATCCTGTCTCGTATGTAAGGTATATCATTGGTGGTGAAGACGTCAGTAGTCACTTACTTTTTGCCTTTCACGGAGTTCGCTTGGAACGACTTCAGGCGAACAAAACATCCCTTCCGTAATAGCTCACTAGACACCATGGGGTTCAATTCTGGAAGATCAAGGTTAGTAGCAGTGTCTTAGGCAAGTCATCAGGTTTATGGCACACTTACGGGTCGCAAGCATCGTCTGTACATAATTTGAAATGTCACTGAATACCGCTCGGTAGCGTTCCGGGTGGCTCTGTTGAGATGGCAATTGCTTTATCTGGACACATTGAACAATAGGCTCACGCGTTTGAGGCTTTGTATCATCGAAGATAGCGCTTAAGGGACATTAGTGAGATAATGCACAAGGAGTTCCAGGAAACTGACCTGAGTGCCCCAACGGAGACCTGAGATGCTGCTTCTGAAGACATCTGAAATAGTTTCAAGGTAACCTTGTGCCGTCCTACAGACTCAGAATCAAAGAAATACAAGCAATGTCTCGGGGAGGTGTAATTTAGAGCTTGAAATGATGAACAGCAAATGGCGGTCTTGGTGGTACTGGTACAATCCTGCTACTGCTGAAGGACATTTGCATGAACAACAAATGGAGACGCGACCCAGAGTAGTACGCGGTAGGAGCGCGTTAAGCACCCACCCCACTTTGGAATGCGAATATTACGTGTTTGATGGTCTAAGGTTAGTAGTACAGAGCAGATGTCGTAATACACCATACATCCATATGAAAACCGGTACCCCGTCACAGTACTCCGTCTACACAATACACTACGTATTTAGGTTGAAGATCTCTCCCACTTTACCCCACCTTTTTACATACCTGACAGTCAAAGCCTCGACAAAGCAAATATTGAAGAATTTCACCTGCCGCCTTATGCTCATACAAAACTTTCATGTATGGAGAGGACGCATGCTCTCTTACTGAAAGTCATTGCATCGTGAGACTCGGACTGATTGCTGTCATTTAATAAGTTGTATCAGGCTTCTATATTAGCTTTCAGCTCTCCTCATGATGGCTTCTTGTAGCCATGTCGCGTCTGAAGGTCAGTTGCGACTATAGCCAAAGCTGAAGTACAGTGCTCATACAGGTTTCTAACCATTATCTACATCGCAGGACTGAGGGAACCAGCTACGTCGCAGGTTGTATATCGAGAGGACTGTACACAGTGTTTCGACTCAATAGTGCGTACCCATTGTTTTTCTATCAATTTGACGCCTAACAAAAGATCCAGGACGATGAACATGGGCTTAATGTTTGTTTAACATGCTTCAATGGAGGTTGCGCTGGTGATAGAAACCATGCATTTCTCCACTATGAACGTTGCAGTCACCCTTTAGCGCTCAACATCAGAAGATCACGTAAAAAGGTTCAGGTGTGTGCCAATATCACTTGTCTGGATCATACTTTTTTGGTTGCATGTCATTGACAAGATGCAATGGCAGCGAGATGAGCCACCGCAGAAGATTTCGAAGCTTGCAATCGCAGCTGAAACTGATGAGGACCGCTATGACACGAAAACACGTGTTGTCTGTTATCCTTGCCGTCAGAGTGATCTCGACGCTTCCAGTGGTAGGCTGCCAGCTGTAATTGATGGCGTGATGAAAGCGATGACCTTCTCCAAAAGAGAGGAAGTCAAGGCCTGGGAGCAAGAGTTCATCCCCTGCGAACACACCATTAATCTCATACAGGGAGCGTCAAGACAGATTGAATCAAAGGGTGCGTTGCTCCTCTCATTTTACATTACCCTCACTATAATGCTCACAATTGCACGTCAGAGCTGGTCCAGTGTTCCATGTGTAACCTGAAAGAGAACCTCTGGCTATGTCTAGAATGCGGAAACCTTGGCTGCGGTCGCAGTCAGTTTGGCGGAGTTGGAGGAAACTCGCATGCACTTGCGCATTCTGACAAGGAGTCGCATGCTGTTGCAGTGAAGCTGGGCTCTATCACTGCAGATGGTTCGGCTGACGTGTATTGCTACAGATGCAATGAAGAAAGAACCGATCCTAACCTGGCTACCCATCTTGCCAATTGGGGCATCAATCTAGCGAGCCGTGAGAAAACAGAAAAGAGCCTTATGGAAATGCAAGTGGAGCATAATATGAGATGGGAATTTTCGATGACTTCTGAGGACGGCCATGAACTTACACCTGTGTTTGGACCAGGTTTAACTGGCTTGACTAACTTAGGAAACAGCTGTTATCTCTCAAGTGTTGTCCAATGCCTTTTCGCCTTGCCTGAGTTCCAAAAACGATATTACCATCCCAACAGCGAGCCGCCGCACACGCAGAGGCCAGCCGAGGACCTTGAAACCCAACTGCGGAAGCTGGCCGACGGCATCCTCTCTGGCAGATATTCCCGACCCGATAGCGAAGTTAGGTCTTCACCTGATTCAGCTGAGGTTCCTCATCAGAAGGGTTTAGCACCCGCTATGTTCAAACATCTCGTCGGCCGTAATCATGAAGAATTCTCGACGATGAGACAACAGGATGCGTTCGAATTTATGCTTCACCTCTTCAAGCAGATCAGCTTGTCCAAGCATCCCGAAGGGTTAGATAACCCAATCACCTCATTCGGCTTCTCTGTGCAGCAGCGTCTCCAATGTCTACGGTGCAAGAAGGTTCGTTACAGGGCGGACGCCCAGGATAACATTTCAATCCCTGTTCCCGCTCGTCGGCTCCCCGGTGCAGATGCTTCTGACTCCATAAACGAGTATGAGAGTGTCACGCTAGCAGAATGTCTGGATGTATTCACGGCCGAAGAGGTCGTTGAATTCAGCTGCCCGTCCTGCGGTTCCACGGAAGGGTTCAGTAAGAAAACTTCTTTTAAGACCCTACCGCAGAAGTTGGTTATCAATGCGCGAAGGTTCGAGCTGATCAATTGGGTACCTACAAAGCTGAATATTCCGGTAGAAGTTGATGAGAAGCCAATAGAATTTGGTACTTACCTCTCTTCCGGGCCTGATCCAAATGAGGAGCTTCTGCCTGAAATCCAGGAACCTGAAAACGTGTTTAAGCCCAATGAAATCGCGATTGAGCAGCTTGTTGCCATGGGTTTTCCGAACCCAAGGTGCGAAAAGGCGCTGTATATGACCGGCAACTCGGATGTTGAGGCTGCCATGAATTGGCTCTTTGCTCACATGGAAGACCCTGATATCGATGAGCCGCTCGATAAGATGGTTACCAGCACCTCAGGGAGCCAGCAAGACCCAGCTAAGGTTGCGCAGTTAACTGAAATGGGCATAAATTCTAGTCATGCCAGGAGGGCATTGGCAGCGACGGACGGGGATCTCAACAGGGCGATTGATTGGGTGTTCACCCATCCGGAGGATTCAATGGACCTTAGCTCAGACTCTGACATCCCTGAACCCAGTGATAAATGTCAAGGCTCTGATGCCACGCCAGCGAAATACCAATTACAGTCAATAGTGTGCCATAAAGGCTCATCCGTGCATGCTGGGTATGTATGTCTGCTACTTTGTTGGGTTTGAACTAACGGTCAACAGGCACTATGTCGCTATCGTGCGTAAAGCTGTGCCAGGAAGTAATGGTACTTCGTGGGTCATGTTCAATGATGAGAAGGTTGTTCAGGTGGATGATATACAAGAGATGAAGAAGTTCGCGTATATCTATGTATTCTCGCGGACTTGACCTATGAATTCCAAGCGGGTAGATGAAATATTGTATAGTTAGCGTAGTTCACTGAGTATGTTTGGGTCATATGTTAGTCGTTACTACGGCCGTCGTGTTTTGAAGGTCGGCGACGGATTACTATACTATATCGAATTTTCATATTCTGCTTTTAGAAAGCTATCCGTTTATTATTTGTTTCATTGGAGTATCTAAACCACACTATAGATTAGGATATATCTGTTATGTGGAACTATTCCATCTTTCAGAAAATCCCCTACGATGATTTAAATAGTTATAGTTATAAAGAGAATATTGATAGAAGATGGCAATAAGATGTTCTAGTATTAGCCGCCCTGTAGACCTTGCAATATTTCATATAAAATATATTAAAAACAAAAAACTTATGAATATTTGGATATAAAAGTTTGTGAGTCGGATTGATCTATAGAAGTGTTGTGTGACTTATCATATATTTTAATTTCTTGAATATATCTCGATATAGATACAAGATTATTGATTAATACTGATTTATGGTGTTATATATGGATAAATAAGATACTAAATTTATGGAAGCCGTTCAAATGGTCAAATTTGGTGCTATCTAACAAGAATTTCTAGCGTGAGGAAAGAAAGGAAGAAGCTTAAAAATATATATAATTATATAAAGATAAATAAGCTATACAGGATAAATAAATAAAATTAATAAAATAAAAATCATGTAATCCAGGAATATTATTTATTATTATATTATTTTTTTATTTAAGTCTGGCTACTTTGAATTAATAATAAATTATTTTTTTATAATTAAATATAAATTTATCAGTCTCTGCAGCTGCCAGTTATTATAAAAAATATTTAAAAAATCTAGAATAAATAAAATATTTTATATAATAATTCTAAAATTAAAAGAAGATATTCTTAAAGTTTTTTATTTTAAATATTAAATATAATTTATTATATCAGATATTAGTTATTTAATTTTATACTAAAAATAATTATACTATAAACAGTTAATTAAAATATCTTTAATTTTTTATTTTATTTAATTATTAATTTTGATAGATACGATAGCGTTTTAAATTTAATTAAATATATTATATGAGTAAAAGTTTCTTAAGATGAAAAATAATATATATATATTATATTTATTTTATTAATAATAAGTACAGAGCTATATTAATTTTAAATATTTTTTATAAGAACTAGCTTTATCTCTAATTACAGATATTAATAAAGTGATAGAACCAGTTAATTAATTATATTTATTAATTTTATATTTTTAAATTTTATTTTATATAAAAATCTAGATTTATTTTATATAATAAATATACTTGTGAGCTTAATCTTAGATAATAATATATAATAATAAATTAATTAAAAAATCTAGTTAAAATAAGATATAAAATTTATATTTTTTATACATAAAAATAATTTAATAGATTTATGGAACAGAATTATAATAATAAAATTAATAATAATAATAATTTCAATTAATTATCTTAGAAGTAATTAATAAATAAAATAAATTATTAAATTATATATTAATTAATAATCTCTATTTATTTATTAATTTATAGATAATATATTATTAGAAACTTTAAATTAATCTGTAGGATTTAATATAGTTTATTTTAAAAATTAATTTATAATTAATTTTTTAATTAAAAATAATTGTAGCCAAGGGCACTTTATTATAAAATATCTAATTATATATTATATACAAGATCATTTTATATATATTAATTATAAGAATAATATAATCTTACAGGAAATAAAATAATTAATTATTTGATTAAATAACAGTTCTTAATCTCGGTAATTAAATTAAGGTTTAAATAATAGTATAAAGTAGGATTCTAAATAATATTTTTTTACTAATAAAACAAAAAGTTAATATGTAAATATATTATTATTATAAATATATTTAATATTAATATTTTGCTGGTGTTTGACATAATTTTATAAAATAATAAATTTATTATATATTGTATTTTTTAAATAAAAATATCTAGCAGTATCAGGAGACATAGTGAATAAAAGTAATAGTATAATATATACTAGTCTAGCTATATATAAATAATAATCTATAAATATATACATGAGATTTTCAATATATAGATTAAGATTATAGGGCTTAGTATAAAAAATAATATTTATTTTCTTTATAAAAATAAATTTTATAGGATATTAGTAAAATATTTTTTAACATTAAAATTAATAATATATTCAATAGAGTTATAAATCTTTTTTTAAAAGATATAGACTGTATAATAATAAATAAAATAAATTAAAATTAACGAAGAAATTATTTTTCTAATAATCTTAATAATAAAATTAAGAAGTAATAAATATATTAAGATACTATAGAAATATAGATTTTAAATCATCTTATAATTTATAATACCAGTTGTATATAAAAAATAATAGATATTATTAATAATAATAATATTAATTTATTTATTATATTGCATAAGAGCAGTAATCTTTTTAGTTTTAATATATATATAGATATTTTAGTATACTAGTTATTTATATAAAATAAGATTATATAAGAATACTGGTATATATTAAATATAATTAATTTTTAGTTATTTATAAAATCTATTTTATTTATCAATTTAATTAAAATAATACTATAATTTATAGTCTGAAAAATTCATTAATAATAGTTTTAGCTGTGTATATATAGAAAATAAAAAATATAAAATAATAACTAAAATTTATTATTATTTTAATAATTATAAAGTCAAGTATATCTAATTATATAAGTAATTTAGATAGTACTTAAACTATAATAATAATACTAAAGTAAATTATGAGTATTAAAAGGATTGTAATTAATATTAATTATATTAATTAACAATATTTCAGGTAATAATACAGGCAGAGTAAATATAATAATTATATTAATTTATATATTTATAATTATTTTTTATTTAAATTTAATAAGTACTTGCTTACAAAGTAATTTTTGTAATATTTATAAAAAGTATATTATATAATATTCTTATTAGTAGTATTAAGTTACTTTTTTTATATTATATAAAAATATTTATTTAATTGTGATTATAATTATAGCTATTACTGTATTTATGATTATATCTATAACTATAATTACTGTGATCACTGTCTTGAATATTATAAAATAGATAAGAGAAGGAGTCCCTAAGCATCCCTGCAAAAGCACGCCTCCTAACACTTTTAGGGGTCTAAATATCTTAAAAAGTTACATTTAACTGCCGTTTATGATTATCTACATTGTTTTCCTGATATTTTTTGATATTATATAGCTATATTATTATAAAATCCTGTTAAAAAGACTATATAATCTTAAATAATTAATCTGATTACTATAAAAAACCTATATATTCAAGTGAATACCTTATTTAAAAATTCCTATAACTTTAAGTATTATCAGGAAAGTAATAATAGGTATAAACTTCTGAAAAATATTTTTCTAAATTTCCTAAATATTATAATTATATTAGCAGGAAGAATAGCAGAGATCTTTTTTAAATATAATTATAAAGAATTTTATTAAGATTAAATATATTATATATATATAGTAAGCTGATTAAGTTAAATTAATTAAATTTATTATAATACTGGATAATAAAGATAGCAGTACCTTTATTTTAATATTATAATTCTATTTTAAAATAATAAAATAATATATTATTTTAATCTCCAGATTATATATATTTAATTAATCTAATAAAATATATACTAAAAATACTAATGTCAGCTCTTAGTTAATTTTTATAAAGATTTTAGAAATTTTAATAAGACTAGAATCTCTAGTAGAAAATCTAGAATTATATATATATAAAAGTACTAGCTTAATAATTTAATTATTTTATTATAAGAATCAGGCCCTGGTTAACCAGGTTAATAAAAATATTATTATATTTAAAAACTTATAATTTTTAATTATAAAATAGCAGCTAGAAGGATTCTTCTAAATAATAATATATTTTTAATTATTTATAATATAGAGAATATTAAATTATTTTATATATATAAATATTCTCTGGGTCAAAGTCTTGAATATAAATATTATATTTAAATATTACAAATATACTATGATTTTTATAAATATAGATATTAATATAGTTAGAAAAAGTAATTTTTTAAAATATTAATATAAGCTGACTGAGTATCTATTTATTATAAATATTTACTACTAGATTTATTTTTATAAATATTATAAATATAAGCTAGGTGAAGTCCTGGAAATAAATTATTTAAAAAAAGTAATTTTTATAATAATAATAGATTTAATAATAATAAGATTATTAATAAAATTATTTATATAGAAATTCTATTTAATAGTAATAATTTTAATATTATAATTTATAACTAAGACTAATATATTTTATAATATTTTAAATATTAAAATTATAGATATATATATTAATATTACTACAAGTATCCTGTATATATATATTATATAAAAAATTATAAATTTATTAATTATTTTTATAAAAATAATAAAAGTTATATTTACTATATCTTTTATAAGAAAAAATATTATATCTTTAACTATATCTGTAAATACCAGAAGATTTAATTAAAGATAATTTATAAATAATATTAAATTATATTATTACTAGACTTTCTATTAATCTTCTAAGTATTATATATAAGAAAAAATCTTTTAATAATATATTTAATATTTTAATAACTGATATCCAGGAAATAACTAATACTTAAGATAATTTATAAAATTAAATATTAAATTTAATTATAATATACTAAATAGAATTATATCCATCTAAAGATTAAAAAAGACTACTATAACTTTAAATAAGAATTATAATAATGAAAATAATTAGATTATATAATATAATTTTATATTAAGCTATTTCAGAATAATAAATAAAATAATTTATTCTAAAAAATTAAAATATTAATTTATAAATAATCTTATTAGAAAGTACCTGTTCCTGATATTAAAATTAATAATAATATAATAATTAAAAAAAATAATAATAAGTTTTTTTTCTTATAAGAAATCTCTGGTTATCCAGATTAGTAAAATTAAATTT